CTTGCTCAGTGCCGGGTTATCCTCGTAGCAAAAGTATCACATGCTACGGACCCCGCACTTTCAAGGGCCCCGCGCTAAATGCTTTCAAGCGATCAATTCCGGCTCAGTGATTATGCACTTGCTCTATTACTATAGTACTATACTGCCTTCAACTTTTATGGACGACTGGGTGTTTAAGGTTAGCGATTTGTCGTATTATCTGGCTGTATTGCAAGTAAAAATATACGATGACTTTACTATGCAAGTAAAAATAAAATATGTGTTTTAATATTTGCGTTTTTTAAATTTAGGGCTCCTTCATAACATATGCTACAGGCCTCGCACTAGCTTAATATGGCGCTGCTCTTGCTGCGGCTGTGTAGATGCGAGTCGCGTACATGGAGGTGAAGGCCAACACGATCAGAACTCCATCCGCTCTGTCTTCACGAATAAATAAAACACGTGTTTTGGTCCATCGGTCTCTTGTCTTTCCAGACCAACCAATATTTTGTTTCAAGCCGGAAAAGTCCGGACCGGTTTCACCCTCCTGACTGCTCATCAGCAGTCAGACTTTTTAAAACAAATGTACAGAGATGTTGTTAGCAAGGACACTCCATGTAAAATATACATGGGTCCCTGTTTAACGCAATTTTTTAAAATAAATACTGTACATAAACTCATCGTGTGCATGCGGGGACTTTACTGTAATGGTGACAAGAGGACAAACCGTGAGCTCAACAAAGCAGGGAGCGTTGCCCCGGGGGTACGGTCGGGGCTGAACGTGTTAATTGCTAATTGTTTGGTAATTTATGACCCAATGGCTTTGGGAACGTGTGCAGACCCCACAGCCCCTCCCCCTCTTCCTCCTCTGCCCCCCCACACGCCCCAGACTCCCCAACCGAAGCGTTGCCCCAGCAGTGTTCGTACAACGGGCACGCGTGCTCGTGGCAGATAAGTGACTGAGCGAGCGAGTGGGCAATATCTCCCCACGGCGTAATTCACCACTACAACGAATGGAAACATACACACACATGTACGCGCGCGCGCGCACGTACTTACATAGACGCACGCAAACATATATACACACAAGAAAAGCACAGCACGAACATGCGAGATAATACGCAGACATAAAGACAAAGATCCCCCGTATAGCCTTTAACAGAATGTTGGGGCAAGTGCTGTTCTCGAGCACGTTTTAAGTAAGGTTCATTAACAGGCACACGAAGGGCTGGGTTGGCCAGTACCATGGCCGGCCGCCTTTGTCTCCCCGTGGTGATGTTTTACACACCACACCAGGTAGTCATTTGAGGCTGAGTCGACCTAAGGGAGGCCCCGGACTGGTTCAGATAATCGTCACCGGTGTTGGCCGTGAGCGGGAATCGAACCCGGGTGGCCAGGTTCGTAGCGCTAACCGCTACACTGCCGCTCCCCACAACCACGAACGCACTGACACACGCACACACGCGCACGCGGCATCACACGAACGCAGACTCAAACGCAGCACTTGGCCACGCTTGTTTCTCGAAACGGAAATACAAGCAAACACGGAACTTCTTTTTGCCGATGTAAACATTGCCATTCTCATAGACACCACTGACAGACCAGGGCGTGCACACATCGGCAGCCTTCCCCGACGCGTGCTGGGTGGGTGTGTGGGTACAAGCCGACTGGCTCGCAAACCCTGCGCACTCGAACGGCTCTCGGCACGTTCAGCGGAAAAAAACTCTTCCTCTGCAGCGTCCCCCCCCCCAACCCACCCAGCACCTAACGGGAGCTTTGGCTGGGAGAGATCGCGAGAGGTGGTCACGGGCATGGGGAGTCCTTCATCCAGCAGTGGAACGATCATGGCTGATGATGATGATGATAGACAACGAGACTGATGCGTACACCTAATGGGTCTCATCGGCTGCTGTAAATATATCAGCAACACCAGCAATGCTGTCTTTTCGTAAATAAGCCAATGAACTCATTGGGAGTGCGTTACGTAACGTTGTTGTTATTATTATTATTCAGCTTTCACGGTTCATTTGCTTAACTGGTTGAGAACTCAAGAGACCAGGATGAATCTCGTTTATCAAGAATGAGTGGTCAAACGAGTGGGTCAACGATTGCGTGCGATGATGATGAGTGAGCGAGTTCAGGTTTTCGTATTCTTCGGGTCGTTCGGTAAAGCTTGGCTTTACCGAAAGACCCAAAGAATATGAATTCCTGCAGTCACGAAAGCTTTAAGTCAAGATGAGTTCAGGTTTGTTTTGTTTGAGCTGAAGAGACCAACGTGATCCTCATTTGCTCCAGTGACTTGGGGTCACCAAAATAACAAAATGTAAGAACGAAACAATAAATGAATGAATCCGACAGCAACGAAGCGGGCAGAAGTAATTCATATTACCGGACTACTAGCGGTGTGGCCGATATGAGGTAAAGCACCTTATGATGGCAACATGCAAGAGACTCGGCTACCCGTGATGCAATATCGTGGAGACTCTGGCTGACTTGCCAGACCTCTTGATGCTCCACTGAGCATTGAGGCGTTGATGCTCATCTCCTGTTATACAGCCCTGCAAAGCCAGTAGTGGCAATTCCACATTCCTATGGCAGGTGAGAGTCTAGGCCCAACCACCGTTGATTTTCTCACAAAGTGGCACGAATCCTTGTTTTTTTATTATTATAGTATCGACCTCCGGAGGGACGATGCGCTGGGTCAACCACCCCACCAAGGATTTGAACTCGCCACCTTCTGATCGCGAGCTGCTCCCCCCCCGCTCCCCCCGCTCCCCCCCTCCCCCCCGGCCAACTGACCACATTGAGTTGACGAGGCGAGAACTTTTGAGAGGACTCCGAACCACGACCTTTCTCCCTCTCTCTTCACATCCACCAGCTACAACTGGAACGGTGCTTTCAGTCTATCGACGACGCCACGGGCCATGCGTTTGTTTTTTGTTCCCCCACCCCACCCCACCACCAATACGCCACATGGTAAGAGCGGGTGGGGGGGGGTGCTACGAATTCGGCGTGCAGGATGACGCACGCCGCTCTCTTACTCACCCCAACACACCGTGCATGGCGAGCCGAGCGTTGTCTCTCTCTGTGTGTGAGAACCTCAACACCATCACCCCACCCCACCCATCCCGAGCACACCACCACCACCGACACCACCACCGACAGACACCACTACCCTCCCACTTCCACACGACAACAGAACGCAGGACACGACCCGGGGTTCGCTCCGACTCACGGCTCGCTCCGCCGCGCACTCTGCTCCCGGGCGCCCAGGGCGCTGTGCTGCTGCTCCGATGCCCGCCGCTGACACCGGCTCAGGTGCCCGGCTGGCCCTGGGTGGTGTTAGGTCCGAGTCGCGTCCACCACATGAGATGCCCGCCGCTACTGCTGGTGCTGCTGCTGCCTCCTCCGAGCGTCGCTGAGCGGCGCCGTTCACGCTCTCCCTCCCTCCCTCCCGCCGCGCTCACTGTTACTCTCACCCCTTTAGGTTCTCGTGACTCTCACTTCCTCTCTCTCTCTCTCTTCTTCCCCAAAGTTCCTTTCTAATCGTATCTCGCTCTCTGCCTTTGCGTCTCTACCCGTGGCTCTGTATTCATCTCCCTCTCTCCGCGTGTCTATCTCTTCCACTCTCTCTCTCTCGTGTGTATGAATGTTGAACGTCTTTGGCACCGTACGTAGCCAATCCCCCCCCCACTCCTCCCCCCTTAGATCTCTTCCCCCTATCTCCCCTCCGTCTCAACGCCTCCGGTCCCTCGCCGCATGTCTCTCTCTCTCTCTTCCGCTGTTCCTTGACTCGCCGCACCGCACACCGGCTCAGGGTGCGAGGAGGATGGCGAGGTGGGTCGGGTGCTCGAGCGGGGCTAGCGGGGTCCGCAGAGGAGGGCGTGCGGGTGGGTGGGTGGGTCCGAGCGAGGGGGGGTGGGAGGGCAAGAGCGGAGTAGCCGGGCGAGCGATGCCGTCAACAGAGGGGGAGGGAGGGAGGGAGGGGAGGGACCGCCAGGGGCAGGCGGTGAGGAGGGGGGAAAGCTGGGGGGAGAGAGAGTGGGGGGTGGAGGAGGAGGAGGGCCGGGAGTGGGTGGAAGGATTGGGTGGCGGAGAACCACAATCGGATCACGGCGTCAAATTAACGCTAATCTACTGCGGCGAGCGGTGGTGGTGGTGGTGGGGCGCGGGGCGGCGCGGAGTCTCTAAATAAAGGCCGCTTCCGGCCGTCTCTCTCCGAGCAGCAGGGGCTATGATGCAGTGGTTGCCGTGGCGACGATTTCTAGAAATGAGCATCACCGGCCCGGGAAGGCTAAATAAAGGGGAGCAAGCAATTTCGTGAGAGCGGCACTCACACATACACGTACATACGGGGGGGGGGGGTGCGGCGGATGGGGGGTTCGTGGTGTAATTATGACGCTCGCTCAATCGCTCGCACGAACTCACGAACTCACGCCAACGCGCGGCCGCTTGTCACCACGATGCTCCCTCCTCAAGGACACGGGGACCAAACGGGGTTACAGCAGGACGCGGGGCCCCACTCGCAGGAGTACGGGGGTGGGGGACACCCTGTGGCGCACACAGACGCGGAGGGAGCCGGGGCACAGAGACGTCCGGGGAGAGAAGCCGTGGTTGACATCGGCCCCAGTGTCAGGAATTGAATGGGGCCCCCTTTTCAATTTCCCCACTTTTTAAAAAAAATTCAATTTTCGGCAGCTTGGAATCCTCCGGCCCCATGGGCCCCAATGCCTGCACCGCTCCTCGATAGCCACGCCACTGGGGACACGGAGACGCTCTGAGACAGCAGGACTCGGAGACGCTCAAGAGAGACACGGATAAGGCAGAGGACAGAGACAGAGGGACAGGGGGACACTCGGTGGTGGCAGCAGGACAGAGCCGCGGGCAATACCCCACGATGCTGTCTCGCTTCAGTAAACACCACAGCAGTGTCACATCCCCCCCCCCCCCCTGCCACCACCTCCCCTCGCCCATGGCTATCCTTCGTGCGCGATTCACAGGAGCGAGAGATGGCTCGTTACACGCGGCTGTTCCAGAAAATCCGCATTCAAACTGCAGCCGACTTGGCAGTGGACACGACACGAAGCCTCTCCGCTGACATTCCTCGGCAGACGCAAGGCTCTCCCTCCTCCTCCTCCTCGGCCACGCTTCCTCCACATGATACGCTCTGGGAGCCGTGCGGCAGCAGCAGCAGTAGCAGCAAGCCGCGCGCACCCCGCTGCTGCGTGGGTGTGCAAGGCGCGGAGTCACACAGGGAGGAGTGGGAGAGAGCGATGGACGGGCACGTTACATAACCCCGCCAGGGATGAAGCAACTTACAGCAGCAGCAGCAGCGATAATAATCATTCCTCTGTGTGCTTCCAGGACTGCGACCACGTGTGTTTGCGTGCGTCTCTCTGTGTGCGTGTGCGTACACGGCGCTCGTGCACCGTGCCAGCCTTCATAGGTGCTCGCGAACAGCACTTGCCCCAACGGTCCGTTAAAGCTATACGGGGAATCTTTGTCTTTGCACACTGCGCTACGACTCAGCCTCAAATGAGTACCTGGTGTGGTGTGTAAACATCGCCTCGAGGGAGACAAAGGCGGTGGGAGCCTGGTGCTGGCCACCCACCCCCTCGTGTGCTGTGCCTGTCTTCATAGGTGCTCGCTAACAGCACTTGCCCCAACTGTCTGTTCAGGCTATAGGGGGGGGGATCTTTGTCTTTAGTAGCACCGACTTCCCCACCGGTCCACACATGCCGCGTGGTCGTTCATGGCGTGGCCAACCATCTCCAGTTCAATCGATTTCAATCAAACTCCAGTTTTACTGATGCTACCGCAGCGTAAAGGTTAACAATGCTGAACTCGCGACCCGGACGTTCGCAGGTTCGATTCCATCTCCCGGTTCAGTAGTGGATAGATTGCCGCAAGTTTCTTAAATCCCTCCCCACCCGGTCCAGCGCCTCCTGTCCAACCCAGCAGTGGACGAATGGGGACAGCCACAGTGAGTCGATCGGCAGGCCGCGTTTGGTGGGGTGAAGTGTGGACACTCGACTCCCAACTCTTCCAAGACGTCCCGCCAGCGTGTAAGAGCAGGCCGAATACGATTCGAGAGAAGCTCCCTCTGGACGTGGCCATTTCGCCAGCAGTGTCGTGGGGTAAGCAACTGCAGTACTGCACCTTTGCCATCACCTCGTTTGACTGCCTTCATTTTTTTGCTCTCACCCTAGAGCCCTTTTGACCCGAGACCCAGTTTCACAGCGTCGAGCCCAAGTCCTCGATGACCTTCCGCTGAGGACAGCCCCAGCTGCCCACCCGTGCTCACGCAGCCGAGAAGTGGGTGGGCGGGAGGGAGGGAGGGGAGGGAGGGAAGGGAGGGAAGGAAGAAGAGGCGCGCGTTCACACGGTTACGAGCGTGGGCCATCTCCACCTGCACCGCTCCCAGTGCGGAAGTGTCTGTCTGTCTGCCCCCGCCGACTCGAACGTCTCGCGATGGAACGATGCGCGTTTGACTTGGCGTGGCGTGGCGGCTGCCTCGCTCACTGCAGAGGCGACACCTGCGGCAAAGCAGCGAGCGGAATATTTTGTTCCGAAGCCAGGCATTGCAGCGCTGTGCAATGACCTTTTCTGGATTTCGGCGCACGCACGCGTTTATCATCAGCAGCCAGGGGCCGACACACGATGCCCCGGGCCACCAGAGCACATGGCCATGTGTCAACCCTGACTCGCGACGAGACTCATACACGGACACACACACTGACACATGTCCACACGAATACACAAACGCACTCACGTCTTAGCCCAGACTGATGACCACACTCAGTCGCGATTGATCCGTGACCACACTCGCTAACTACTTCAAGAGCTACACTCACTCACACATCCGTGACCAAACCCACACTCACTCCCTAACACATGACCCACCTCACTCACTCCCTCCCTTACCTATGACCACAATCACTCACTAAACCACGACCGCAAGCACTCACTCGCCCAAGATCACACTACCCATGACCACACTCACTTCCTGACCCATGCCCACACAACTCCCACAATAACCACTATTCACCCTCGTGCCGGGCTAGGTGCACTTTAAGTCCACGACCCATTTCCACACACACGTCCACATGTACCCCACGACCAGTGTCCAACACGCCCACACAGTCGCACCTGTGCTCGCAAGCCGGCCAGGACTCGGGCCTGGTTATCGGCGCTATCAAACCGGATTTAAATGCCCCACTCGGCACACCACATCCAAGGGTGCCACGGTGGCTATGATATGTTAACTCACTCACCTGGTTTGCAATGAGGTCGTGGATTAGATCCAGACCATGACGCCTGCTGTATATTTGGAGTTTGCGTGTTCTCCCCGTGGTCCCGTGGATTTTTGACCCTCTACATTTAGAATCAACGTGCGTTTAAATATCGGAAAACGTGCGTTTAGAGTATTTGGCTGCTATAAATTCCTACACGGTGATAATCCAATTTGATGAGCTGTCATTTGCGAGAGACAGCTCGCTTCTGAAAACATAGGTATGTAGCTCGGTGAGCCTTACCTGGTAAAAAAATATATAATATTCGTTACTAATAGTACATCTGTCACCACGGCTATGGCTTACGAGGCATGTGCCTACTCCAACCCTATCGAGCGTGACCTCGTGTAAAAAGGGGTCGAGGGGTGGGTATAAACAGCATCTGAGGGGGGGGGGGTGAGGGGGGGCTGGCACTGAGTCGATGCTACATGTATTTGTTTTAAACAAATGTTGAACGTCCACAATAGAGGTTTTTTTTTAAACGCTCCTTCCAGCCATCCCAGACAGTCGCAGATCAACCGACGACGCCGCCACTTGCAAACCGAGCAGAGCCTATTGCAGCCGGTAAACCGCTACGACTGCGATGAACTTTGAATAATATTGAATCATATACAGCCCCCCCCCCCCCCCACACACCTTCCCGTGTTCGATATTGTGCCAACGGTTCTTTCTTTGGCTTGCCTAAAAAATTCAAGAGTGGGGGGGGTGGGGGGGAGAGGGCTCACACCTCTCCCCCCAACGCTACCCCCCCCCCCCCCAACGCTACGCGTCTGTGTTACTCCATTCTATCAGCGAGCTGGAAAATGTTCGGTGAGAAATTAAGCCCTCAAGCGGCAACATCACCTCCGAAGCCGCTGCGCCTGCCACCACAACTCAGCTGCCTGTTTAATAATAATAAACAATTTGGTTACCTGCCAGCGGGCAGCACGCAAATACAAAGCTCCCCCTTATAGCCTTTACAGGCCGTTGGGATAAGTGCTGTTAGCGGAGCACACTTTGAAGGGTTGGCTATACGGGGGCTCTTTTTCGTTGAAGATTGTACGTATCCCCTCACCCTGGTCTGCTTGGGTTTCCTCAGGGTTCTCCGGTTTCCTCCCGTAGATAAAAAAAACGATGTTACTGGTATTGGCCAAACATGACAAGGCTCAATAATTACCTGCAAATTACTCAATTGCGATTACACACAGCAGCAATATTGCCCCCCTTGCTGCGAAAGAATGCTAGCAACCTGCTGAAAAACAGTCTTGAAACTCAGAGAGAGGCTTTCCTGGAGAAACAAACAGAACAACAACAAAAATAATAATAGCCGGCTATTGTTCAACATGATGCCCGACGTTTCGCTTCACGCACCGATAGCTTCTTCAGGAACTGATCCGGAGCCTTCTCTGGTTTTAACCACGTCCTGCATGATGAGTCCGACCCAGGGCCGCCCTGAAGTGTTCTGGAGGCACGCGACAGAACGCCACGTGGGGCTGGCCCCATAATTGTTTAGCGACAGAGTAGCAGGCCCATTGTGGGTCCTCTCTTTTGTGTGAGGGACAAATTTCCCCGTTTGCTCCCTCCCTCCCCTCCCTCGCACCCCTCCCTCTCTAGACTGCCCTGAGTATATATGCACAAGTGATGAAGCTCATAAACAACGCCGGCCCTGCCTACATCAGACACGCGCAGCAGCTGGCAACCTTACATAATCGAGGGAGAAAGTGAGCCGCTCCATTTCGTGTTCCTGAAGAAGCTCCCAACATGCGGAGCAAAACGTCGGACATCGTGCCAAGCAACACGTGATACAACCCAACAAAAAACTTCATCTGATGGCCTCTATCATAATTAAAAACTCGGTACGTGCACAATATTCGCCCATGCCCACATTTGCACAGGGCCGACGCTTCATTGTTTGTAAGTCACGGGTCGATTATGGTCGAAATCAAATGGCGTAAATGCCACCTGATCATCACAGCACAATCCCGCTGGATCACCGCCGCCGCCACCACCATCATCACAATGCTACTTGAGCGACCACTATCACGATCCCACAGGATCGGCCAACATTACAATCTACCGCGCCACCACCATCGCAATGCCACTGGATCGCCGTCATCACAATCTCCAAAAGTCCCCATCGTCGGTACGACCCCGCGAGACCGCCACAGTGCCTTGGTTCTACATAATCTTGCCTTCAATAAACACTGACCTCCACACAAGAAAGAAAGCCATTAAAAAAACCCAACACAGACACTCAATACCACGCTTCAAGCGAAACAACGTGAGCACGTCTCACTGTAAAACCAAACAGAATATCATCTTACGGGGAGCATCCGTCTGTCGAGTGATCCGGCCTCTGACTCTATGAACGTCCAAAGACAAAGATCCCCAGTATAGCCTTGCGGGTTGTTAGGGGCAAGTGTTGTTATCGAGCACCTACGGAGGCCGGAATGCCACATGACGGGGTGGCGTGACCGGAGAAACACCACGCCGCGTTTGTCTCCCTTGTGGTGATGTTTACACATCGTACAAGGTACTGATTTAAGGCTGAATCGATCAAGGGGAAGCCCAGGAGAGTTTCAGATATTCGACACGAATGTTGACCATGAGCGTTAATCAAAGGTGATTCAAAGTAAAAATGAATACAACTATTTTAATTAGGCACAACGAGTCGTAGTACACGCCATGGGGATGCTATTGCTCTACTTATAAAATTATTTTCTAGGATTTATCACACTTGCATGTCTTCTTTCATACGGATGCTGCAGAACGACCGTTAGAAATTTGGTTGTAAACACTAATATGAATAGTGATTTCAACTCGTGACGCACCGCGTACTAAGGGGCA